CACCACACACAACACACACACACACATGCCCGCAGAAAAGCACAGTGGCCTGAGGTGATGGTGCAAGCGTGGACAAAGCCCTGTTAGGTGGAGAGCAGGTTGTTTCCTCAAGAAAACGGGGTCCTTTGGCAGTGAGTTCGGCGGCGTACTTGGAAGTATCCTGCCGTTTGAACTGCAAAAAACCTGGGCACTCAAACTCAAACCCCACTCTTGGCCTTTCGAGAGGCGATGTACACCCGGCAGCCGTTCCTGATGATCGCGCATGGCTGGGAAACAGAGAAGAAGATAAAGTGCTCGAAGAGTTCTTGCATGCTCTTGGTCCGCCCTCAGGAAACCCGGGCCGAGCAGCTGCACGAACCCAGATGCAATCATGGCACCGATGCCAGATCCACCACCTGACACGTAGCAATTAGGGCTCCCATCCTGAGCATGCTTGATACGAAATTGATACGAATATGCATCGAATATGCGCAAACCCTCCGACCATGTTGCAGCATCTTTCAGGGCAGGCCTGTGACCAAAACCACCTTGCCCTCCACGCGAAACAGCGATTGGACAGACAGATCTGCTTCGATCGCAGTCGCATTCTCTCCTTCGGATTCCTGCATGCGCGTGTTTGGCCCAGTGTGGTAAGATTACATGCGATTGTGGCTACATACCACCATGACACCTGAAATGACCCCCATGGTCGGGAGTCATGCACCACCACTGTGAGCCCCCCCCCCTCCCCCCCAACTAAATGCCTTGTGAGAAGGACTTCAGAAGGCCCTTCGGTCCTTGGGCATGAGGCTGCAGTGGCACCAGGGGCGTCTAAGCTTTGCACCAAGAGCTGAGGTGGCACGACAGGGCTGGACATTAGTCTGCTGAACACCATGGTGCATCATGGTGTTCAGGGCTGTGATTTGTACCAGGTCAAACCTCGTTCCCATGTTCTCGTGTTGTGACGTGAAGCCGAACCCGTTCTGCACTCTTCCAGGATGCGAGCGGTTTCTGTTTGGAAAGGCAACTCGCGACTCTGTGAAACATAATCTACTTCAGACGAAGCACCGATGTGATTCTGGAGATTCGCTGCTTATCATTCACATCTGTTCAAGCTGCTCAAGACCAGGAACATTGACATTTTAGGACGTCGTCACATTGCAGCTGTGCCGTCTCACACATGTTCTGACTCTTCGCGTGCTGTTGTGTAGGAGAGGTTTAGGGGTTAGGGGTTAGAGGCCTTCCAGTCGCCTAAAGCAAGGCCAGCAACCACAATCAACCACGTCACTCTCAGCATCAAGGGCTCTACCTGGCCGTTTTAAGGGATGGGTGCGCTTTCATGATTTGTGCTCTGATGTGAAGGTTGCATGACGTCAGGAGACACGCGATTCTCGACGTGCAACTGAAACATACGTGTGGCTCATTTACTCGAGCTGAAGATCTCGATTCCCTTCGTGGGAGGCCCTAATGCTCAAGGCATGCCTTCCGATTCGTGAGCGAGCACATACACATATTCAACGTTGTGAATGGCAGTGTTTGGGCATGTTTGCACTAGGCATGCTGCGACTGCCTCTGCTAGCAGCTTGCGTTGCAGTGCAGCAGCCAGCGCTGCTGGTGCAACGGCCGCAAGGACTTTGGAGCCGTTGGACATGGGCTGAGCTACTGCGCTGTCTCAGATGGGAGCTTGCAAGTCCGAATGTCAACGCTGACCATGTTGACACATCATCTCGAGCCAGGCCGCATGTTAGAGCTTCTGTCTTGCTGAAGCAACGCAGCTGAGGAAGGGCTGAAAACCTTTCACTTCAAGCATCATTCGTATGATTCGCATGTTGAACATCACTACTGAAGATGCAGTCAGCGAAAACTCCTGCAGTAATTATGTAACAAAAAATGAAAGATGAACAGCGACTAGAACCATCGCCCCTCTTTTTGCTCGGGCTGAACGACACGCGACATCAAAATAGATGTGTGCCGAACCCCAAAAAGCACAATGCAAGGCTGCGCTTCTCTCCATATGACTCCTGCTACTGGCAATTGCTGGCATCTTCCCTAAACCTCAAGCGCTCAACTTAGTCAACGATGTCACTGACGTCTCAGTAGACTACTCAGAAAACACATCCGGCACAGACCTTGCATGGCTCTTCGTGTACATTAACTTGAGGAAAATTGGAGGACGGCTGCGCCCTGCCGTCAATCCTCACTGGGAAGCCCGTCAGGAGCTTCTAAGACCTGATGTGCCAATGCCACGAAGTTCAAAACCAAAGGACCAAGGCTGGACAGCTTTTCATGCCTGCTCTAAATTTCGTGTCAAGTTTCGAGGGGAGACGTTGCGCACCAGGTTTTGTTAAAACAGTGTCGAAGATTTTATTTTTGGGATTGCAAGGATCGCTCTTTCGGGTTGAGTGTTTGCCGTGGTTCTCCTGCCCGTCTTTCCCTTCTCGAGTTTCGGGTTTCTCTTGGGTTTGTTTACTGCGAAGCCTTTTCAAGGCTTAAGCCCTGTTTCCCAAACACTTCTTTCATCGGGAGATGTCATGCCGAATTCCGGGGATTATGCGTGCAACCATGCGGATTGCGTAAAGTTTCTCGTCCCGCGGATCGGCCTTTACAAAAGGCTCTGTGCACCATGATTGGCAGTCACCATTTCGAATTCGGTCGCAGTCATTGATTCCTGAAGTCGTTCATGGCGTAGTGGCCGGATTTGCCAAACGGCCAAGGACGATAATTCATCAAGGTATCATCGATGAAACCGAAACCACTCATGGAAAAAATGAGTCAGTGTAACCGAAGATCACAACAAAAGATAGGGTCGCTCCGAGTATGTCCCACCTAGCCCTGCGGGTGGCACATGAAACCTTCATTAAGACTTTTGCGTGCGACAGGCTGCTGACGACCTTTTTCTTGGATACCTATGGGGGGGGGGGGGGGCATGAAAATCGTGAAGTCCTTAAGTCTACAAAGTCTACCTCAGTTTTGCCTTGGTTTGCTTGGGGACTTTAGGGCCAGCGGATGCTGTCCTGAGATGTTTCAAGAACAATGCAAACAGCCAGGAGAAAACCTGCAAACCTTCCACTTCGTAGGCCAACGGCCAACAAACACATGCAGCGCAATGATCTCCAGGTAATTCTTGGCGCTGCTGAAGTCAATGATCTCTGGGTAGCTCCAATCTAGAGATAGCCGGTGCACACCAGCGTCACTCAGCTACTACATGCGTTGTGTATCATCCTTGCCTTCGCAAACAGGCGTTTGAGTCAAGCACCCGATTGTCACATCAACCAGCAGCACGTGCAGCGATGAAGGATTGGTTGCTTCTTTGTCCCAGGCTCACCCCCAACACCCAAAACACCCGAATGCAGCATGTGCACAGCAATGCCAGCTGAGCACGGGGCAGGTCTGCCATCTCTGGGAACACTGTCGCAAACTCGTTCATTGCCTGGGAACTGTTTTGAAATTCAGAAATAGAACGCTGGATGGTACTGGTATCTGTGCCACTCCCATCTCTTCAGGCCAGTGCTGACCTGTACATCGTGCACACATTCGAGAAACCCTAAGCCCTGGTACATTATCTTCCCAACAAGCCTCTGCGGTGTCGGAGCCTCGCTCGTCGGGCAGTGGGAGCTTAATGGGCTTTGTCAAATTTGTCAAGTCTTGCGACGGCGTGAAAGATGTGCAAGGTGCCGGTGTCTCGGGGACATCGGGGACCTCGGGAAGCTCTTTCCTGAAAGCTGTGTCCAGCGGAGCTGTCAGCGGGGTGCTCAGCAACAGCTTTCGTGGGGCAAGAGTTGTGTCTGGAGCAGCGGCAGCGGACGCCTGGCGTATGTGGGGGGTCGGCAATGACTTGGGAGTTTGTGCAGCCCTCGCCTCAGCTGAAACAGGGAGGTTGCGAGGTGCAGGTGGTGGTGCTGCAGGTGGCGTGGGTGCATGGAGCCGAATGGAAGGCTTTGCGCGTCGGAGTGCTGCTGGAAGGTCCGCGGCTTCTTGCCCCTGGCTGGGTCGCAGCTCCTCCCGACTCAACGCTGTCATGACAACATGCCTCTGGCTGCAACTGAGTCGAGCAATGCATATCCCCCCGAAGCAAGCGCTCCTCCCCGTTTTTCAACCGCTCGTATAGCCGCAGTGCCAGGCTGCCTTCGATCAGTTTAAGAACCAAACTTGGAAGTTAAGCCAATCATGAGTCAAACAAAGATGCTTGAAAACTCTAGACTCAAGAAGTCCCAGCAGTTCAAAATGGTGTACAGATTGTACATGCACATTCCACTTTTACGCAGCACATCCTGCTGCTTGACAGCACCCTTCCACCTCACAAAGACACCGGCCCTTCCCCAGGACGGCAATCTCGGCACTTGGGAGCTCCCCAAATGCCAGTGCGTGTGCAAACGGGGACCGCCAACTGATTTCTGCCACTTGCCCGCTTGCCCCACTTGCTCGGGTTCCTTACCGAAAACCCACTTGCCCCACTTGCCCTGCCTTAACCGCTAAGTGATTTCTGCCACTTGCCTTGCTTGCCCCACTTGCCTGAAGGTGTATAGGTTGTGAGAACAGGCACCCCCCTCCCCACAATTGTTGCCCACCGGCCCCCCCCCCCCCTGCCCCCGCCCCCTTGCCCCCCCCCCTGCCCCCCGCACCCCCCCCCGCACTCCCACCTCCCAACCCCCCCCCTCCCACTTCCTCTCTCTCTCTCTCCTGCACGCTTAGCCTTCCCCGAAGGGAAGGCTGCCCCAAGGGGCGCGCGAAGTCCACTGGTCTGTTTGTTCGGAAGGGCCACGGTTTTCGTAGCCCCTTTTCCAATCGCGAGGTGCGCGGTTTCCCCCGAGTATTCAGCAAAGCCCCCAGAAGCTATCCCCATCCAAAGTTGCCACCCCCTTCAAAGTGCCCCTTAGTTCGGTGCTCGGGTTCCCCCACTCTGTTCAGCCTCTGCGATGATTACTACCTTCCTCTCCCCCTCTCTTTCTTCTCTCCCCTCAAAATCGGGCTATGTTTGAGGCAGACTTGTTGTGCCTGCCTGGGTTGGACCTTTTTCAAACCGGGCTGTGTTTGAGGCAGATTGGGTGTGCCTTCCTGGGTTAGCCTTTCTTGTTTGTCTCCCCCCCCCCCCCTTCCCCCCTCCTTTCCCCTCGAAATGGCCCCCCGCTGTGGCCTGACAAGCCTAACATGGTCCCCCTCTGTACCCTGACAAGTCTGCCTCACATCGGGCTGTGTTTGAGGCAGACTTGTTGTGTTTTTTTGGGTGAGCCCGATTTGAGGTTTAGGGTCTGTCCGAGTCCAATAGCACTTAAGGTTCTACATGGCTAGGGTCTGCTCCCAACGAGCCCCAACCTCAAGTCTGCCTCAGACGCAGCCCGATTTGAGGCAGACTTGTGGCTAGGTTGGACAATGTAGGGTCTGTCCGAGTCCAATAGCAATAAAGGTTCTACATGGCCAGGGTCTGCCCCCAACGAGCCGCAAAAACCACAAGTTGGCCTCAAATGCAGCCCGATTTGAGGCAGACTTGTGGCTAATTAGGTTGGTTGGGGGTGGCGGCTTGCCCCGCTTGCCCCGCTTGCCCCGCTTGCCCCACTTGCCCCACTTTCCCCACTTGCCCAAGCAGCAGGGATGTCTCCTGGGGCAAGTGGGGCAAGTGGGGCAAGTGGGGCAACATCAATTAGCTCTTCCAGAAAGGCAAGTGGGGCAAGTGGGGCAAGTGGGGCAAGTGGGGCAATTTCAATTATCGGGGGCCGCCTGGGCGCCCGCAATGCCACATGCTGTAAGCACAGTTGAAGCAGGCCCCTTTCAACGAGTATCGCCCACACGGCAAGACATCACGCGTAAGCTCGGCACCAATGTTTGCGCGGTCCTTAACATTTGAAAACATCTCAGCTGAAAGCCTCACTTCACATGCTCATGCTGCACTTCATCCAGTATTGCCTTTGCATTGAAGATCCTGTATTTGGGCAGTCGGGGAGGTCTGCACAGACAGGCCAGGGGGCAAACATGTTTAGCTGCTGAGCTGTGCTCCGGCATACAACAAAGCACGTCTTTTTGTGGAGTCTTTGCAATGTCTGTCTGTCTCAATGCACCGGTATGGAGCCCTGGTTTCAGGAGTCCGCGATAGTCTGAGGATCGGACAACATCTGAAGGTTGCTTGGCTTCCGCACTTTGCGTGCAGCCCTCATCGGGCAGCTCTTCTTGCCATTGCCCCCTGTCTGACCACTCACGCTCGTCTCGCCAGCGCTGCTGGCTTCTCCACTGATGCTCTCGCCAACTCAGCCGTTCTGACCAGTCCTGCTGGTCTCGCCACTGCTGCCGGTCTCGCCATCGCTGCTGGCCTCGCCATTGCTGGTCGCCCCCGTGCCATTGCTCATCTTGCCCGGTTGGTTCGTCCGACCAAACCTGCTCATCCTCCCAACGCCCTTGTGTCTCGCAATTCTGCACAGGCTCCTCCTCCTGCTCGTCCTCTTGCTCAACTTCCGGGCACACCTTGTCCAGGTCTGAACTCCAGACTTCTTTTCTCTGGGCTTGTTGTTCTGGTTGCTGTAGCTTCTGCCGTAACTGAAATAAAAAAGCCGGCTGCTGCACTGGTGGCTGTGCAGGTGCTGATGCCTGCAAAGCCTGAGGCCGCAGCGGCGGTGGCTGGGGCTGAAGTGGCTGTGGCAGTTGTGGCGGCTTGGGTGGCGGTGGTGGTGCAGGTGGCTGGGGTGGACGAGGCGTTTTCTTGCTATCCTTGGCGCCACGAATGACATGAGATGTACTCGAATTTTTTGGCGAACACCAAGGAAAAACGGCCTACACTGGAAGGCACCACGCTCTGACTTTCTGGTTGCGGGATGTTGCGGTCAGCGAGGCTCACGTGTGCTGGGCGCCTTGCCTGGTGTAGGCCATTCATCTGCTGGAAACCTCATGGCAACAAATGGCAACAAACGGCAGCAACAGAACCACAACAGATGCAGCGTTGCGCAAGCTTTTCCAAGCAGCACCCATATCGGTCTAGCCGGGGACCATTCGAACAAGGTTCGTACTCAAAGGGGGATCAATTTTGAATGGTGTACGAGAAGGGTGTGCCAGCGGTTACAGTTTGCGAGGGAAATTCACAATCACTTCGCAGCTCTGCATTTGGAAACAAAGACCATGTTCGAGTGTTTCCAAGCTCAGCATACACATGGCAGTTTCGCAATCAAAATTGCCTGGACCATGCAAGTGCCACCAGTGTCCAAGCTCATGGATAGACAGTAGAAAGCAGCTCATCGCAAGGTGACCCAATGTGACCCACTGTTTGAGGCAAACGCGTCCCCAACTTTCCTCAACTATAAACAATTAGCTGTTTGCCTCAGCCCGCCATGTTGCAAGGTGAAGCACGAGTTTATGGTTGAGTGGGTTTTGTGGAAGCAAAAACATCTTTTGAGACATTTGGGCGCCACAGACAAAGAAACGTGCTTGTTCAATAGTGCTTGCAAATTGACCAGTGATGATGGGCACAGTGTTCGTCTCCATGCCTGCTCTGAATCTCTGTGGCTATGTCATTGTAGACATATACCAATAGGACGCCAGATTCCAGACTCCAGACTCACGCAAGGATCTGCCGGCGTGCCTGTGGTTTTTCAGTGGTTGCTTTTCATGCAAATCTTTAAGGAAGCTTCATCCCGATGCAAAAGCTATGAAGACTGCCATGAAAATCAGAACCAGAATTGCTCATGTATGGAGTTTGCACCGAACTGAATTCAACGTTGAAGGGGCTGCTCTCGCCTGATTGCTTTGCACTGGAGAACGTTGACATCGACTCAGGCTTGAGTGCCGAGAAGGAAAAGGACAACTAAGCCAAATCGAATTCCAATTTGACTCTTGATTCACCCAACGTTGTCATCACTTGGGTACAATGTCCGACCCTTCTTGCTGAACTCGCAATGGCAAGACTATGGCGTGCCCCAAGGTGGATTTGTTGGCCCCCTCCAAGCGGAGGATGCTCAGGGGGAAGAGTTGGGGGGCGGGGGGTGGGGTTGGGGGTTTGGGGGTGTGGGTGGGGGGGTGTGGGCTGAAGTATCCATGTCCCAATGGGTTTGGTGCGAGCGCAGCCAAACCCCACGGCCCGACGATGCACAGTTTGCTGAAATAGAACCTGCCAGATACGATTCGAAGACAATTGCAGAATCTTCTTGCAACCGCTGTCGGAAATACATCCCTGAAGCGTTTTAGGTGAAAGCGCAGGTCGAAATACCTTGCCAGTAGTTAGGGCTGGGATGGACTGGGTTTGCATTTGTCGGCCCGATGCTCCCAAGAGTAGATTCCACTTCTCGTGGCCGCCGGCGACAGGAGGAGGCGACGATGGGAATGTGGTCTGTACTCTGCTCGAAGAAGCAGGTGTCAAGCAGAACAAGTTAGAACAAGTCTCGTACCACAGCAGCTGTCGCAGAAGCAGGCGGCAAAACAGAGCTCAGCCCCCGCTTTGAAGGATTCAGCGTTCGAGCGTCACTGCAAAAACCAGCGTACCGACCCACAGCTCTATCTCACAACCCTTTGCCCCAATGGCCCCAATGTCGCGCTTCGCCGACTTATCATGACTTCTCTGACTGCAAGCAACCTTGGGAGAATATGGACTTGTGGTGGCCCCCGTCGGCAAGCGGAAACCTGCCTTGGTCGTCACACATGCAGTGTGGAAGTGTCTGCCTGCAAACGCTCATGTAGCTCATGAGTAATTAAGTCTGTGGCTAGCTTCGCTTCTGTCGACCTAAGCATGAACACCAGAAGCACTTAGAACGAACGTCCTTTCTCCATACCATGCTTTCTGTGCTTTCCGCGCGGGTCTTGTTCACTCCTTGTTCACCTAGCTTTACTGAACGTAAGGCTCCAACGCAAGGCGATGGCGGCAACAGCTGCTGCGGTTGCAGAATTTGAGGCAAAGGTGGCATCCGTTCCGCAGCTGCCGGAACCGCTGGTGGCATCTCCAATGCATGCAAACCATGCAAAACAGGGCTGAACGGCTCGCAATGGCTCGGAACTTCACAGCTGAGTGTGGACCTGCTGAGTGTTGGCCGCATTCTGGTAGGGACCCTCCATCTGCGATGCCGGTGGCGGGGTTGTACCCGGGCCTTTGTACTCATGGACACTAGCGAGAGCTGAAGCCTTCGGGCCGATTCGTTCACCCTGAAATACTCTGAGAGCATCCTGCGAACATCCTGAACTCCCTTCGGCTCCCTTCGCAACAGCTGGTGAAGGATAGGCGCTACCGTTGGCGATGGCAGCGGCCGCTGCTTCTATGGCCATGGCCTGCAAATGGGTTCCTAGACTTGGCAGCCTGTTCTTTGCAAGCTTTCCCAGCAACTCTACTGTTTACCAACCCTCCCCAATACTGTACTCCATCTTTTCAAGGTGCTCGCGAACTCGCATGAACATACGTTTCAAAGAGCAATGGTGAACAGACCAACATTTATATGATTCACTCGCCCGTAAAAAGCCTCTTTCACGCGGTCTTGGTATCTTTGTTTTGGACTGCGATGTTGTTAGAATTATCACCATTCTTGAAGAAAAAACGGTTTTCTGGGTGCCAATAGAATACATTTGCCAAGATGCCACCCAAACAACACCCTACGATATTTGCAAAGAACAAGGGGGCTTCACAGCGTAACATCAGCATTTTGTAGGTCTTTAGGCTCCTTCACTCGTTTTAAGTGTGAGCCCGCGTAAAGAAACAAACTAAGATGAGGATGGATATCGAACTGATTATTTAACCCAAAAGTCCCTATGTTACACTAGAAGGGGATGGTGCCTGCGCTGCAGCGCCGTCGGCATCCCGGTCTCGTTGCTTCAAAGCCCGTGCCCGGCGCACAGATTCCATCTCCTTGGCTTGCGATCGGAGAAGGTGAACTGGTTGAGCCTGCGCTAGGTGGCTGAACCTATCTACTCACCTGGACTTTCGCCGAAGGTCAGACTGCGTGGCTGTGTCGAAAGGGGCCTTGGGGGGTGGTGGTGGGGCTGGGGGTGCTGGGGGTGCTGGAGGTGCTGGTGGTGCTGGAGGTGCGGGGGGTGCTGGTGGCCTGGGAGTGGGAGCATGAGCAGAAGGCACCGCCACGGGCGGTGCCACTGCCACTGGTGGTGCTGCATCTGCTTCAGTGGCGGCAGAGTCCACAAAAGTATGAGCATCCTCTGGTTCCTCTTCTTCAAGGATCAGGTAGGGGTCCTCATCAATTCGGAACAGCTGTTCAACATGGCGCAACACCTCTGCACATTCTACAGCCTCCAACGCCTTTTCCTCCACCGCCATGCTGCTGCTGCGGCTACCTCGGTGAATCGGTCGACAGCCCATTCGCATATGACGCAACGGCAGCCTCGTGCACAAATTGCAATGGAATGTGCGTGCTGGAAAGCTGGGTTCACAACGTGAGCGGCGTTTTGTACCAGGCTGTGCTGGGCCAGGGAGCGCAGAGTTGGTGGCAGCAGCTCCAGGCTGTGGAGCCTTGGGTACCTGCGCATGCCTGGACGGGCAAAGCAATTGGCAAACAGTTGCAAGCTTACCGTGCTTCTTTTTTCTTCCAGATTTGAACTCTTGCTGCCAAGCAACCCATGCTGCTTGGCAAAGTAGGCAGCCCACTGCTGCTGGAGCAACACTTGCCTCGTGGCTACAGAATCTTTTCAGAAAAATTCGCAGCGCGGATGCTTTGCAAAGACATGGCTGTGGCGATTCAGATCGATTCAGCCCAGTTGCTGCTGCCACCAACTTTGGAACCCAATTGGTGCCTTGGCCTTCCATGACTGCACGTGTTGATGCATGTTGATGCATGTTGATGCATGTTGATGCTACTTCTTCTTTAGCACCTGTCAAGCGAACTATTGCGCATTTGGCAAGGTCTGGCCCCCGCGGAATGCAGTCCCATGACGGACCATTGACTTCAGTTCTGCAAAATGCAACAACGAGATCGCGGCTGTTTTGGACGACTTATGTTTTTTCTTTTCCTTCTTCCGCTTCTTTCCTGCGCAGCAAAGTGCTTCTAACAACATGTGCAAAAAATGCCGGGCATGGCTCCGAGGTACCGGCTTGAGGCTTCGCTAGCATCTTCCTTGTTCGTGATCGGGCTTTGCAACAGCAGAAAATGAGACACCACAATTCAACATCCACTTCGAAACCAAGAATCCTCTTCTGGATCTGGGTTGGAAGCAGCATCGTTTTTGCAACTGTGGCTGCTTATTTCCTCAGTCTTGCTGCGTTCTGCACTTGACCTTGCACGAGCAATAGCGCGCAGCAACTGCAACAACTTCCCTGTGCATGCAAATCAAGGGTGGCACGAGCGAGATGCGATCCGCTTTTTCCCAGACGTCCTGCCAACATATTTGAGGCGTTGTCCCCTTTGCCAGCAATGAGGCACTATTGGGTGGAAAGCACCATGCTTTTTGCTAGCTTTTTTTGCCTCACGTGCGCTCACTTGCCTGAGCTGCAGAGTTGAAGCTTGCAGCTATCATATTTTGCGGCTTTGGCTGGCGAAGCTTCGAGCGTTTCGTTCGGGGCTTGGGGAGTTTTTGCTCCCTTCGCACTTCTTGGTCTTGTTTGCTTGCTGCGTGTATTATCTTCACGCTAAAGTGTCCCGGCGGGTTTAGGTTCATGGAAAATGCACGCGTTCCTGCCGTGCCAGCGTTCAGGGTTTGTAGGCTGTTTAAGATCTAGTTTTGAGGGACCTGCCCGACAGATTAGGCTTATTTGAGAATTTGGTTTTGCAGAAGAGGCCGACGTCCACAAAGATTTGGCTGTTAGTTTAATTCATTTTGCCGAACAAGTTTGGATATCTCCCGGCGCGGATTTTGGAAGTTCGACGGCCAAGGCCCAAACTTGGACCAAACTTTGCCGGACATTTGGTCAGACACTTTGGCTAAAGATGGTTGTGCCTGCGAGTGAGACAAGGCATTGCTTTGACCAAAGCTCTCCCACGAGGGGGCAAGCAACGACATTTCGACGAAGAGTCGTCCTTTGATCCCCCCGAAACGATGAGCCTAAAAGCTGTGACTAGCCTCAAATCTCAAGTCTGTTCGTGGGCTGTGATTGTGGATATTTTGTGCTCCCTAACTTTACCTCTTCGATAAACAAGGTCAAGCCAGGAACCCAAAAACAATCCGAATGACAACAGTGCCGGAGTGAAACCCCCACTTTTACATCCATTCCGCATGCACATTTTGCTCTGTCCTCCCAGTACTACATTTGTACTACAATTCAGCCAAAATCCCTCAGCTTCCCGCGCCGCTATACGCGCCGTCGTGCGCGCCGCAGTCCGCTCTCGCGCCCCTCCGGCTCTGTCCTCCCAGCACTATATTTGTACTATACAATTCAACGAAAATCTCTCCGCTTCCCGCGCCGCTATACGCGCCGTGGTACGCGGCGCAGTCCGCTCTCGCGCCCCTCCGGCTCTGTCCTCCCAGTACTACATTTGTACTACAATTCAACGAAACTCCCTCAGCTTCCCGCGCCGCTTTACGCGCCGCAGTCCGTAATACATTCAACGAAAATCCCTCCTGCATTTTCATATCGTTTTCATCCCCGCTTCGCTTTCATCCCTGTTTCGTTTTCATCCCCGCAGGCGCCACCCCGTTTGGTTTTCGCTCCGTCTCGTTGTGATCCCCGCGCCATGCCCGTTTCATCTTCATCCCCGTTTCGTTTCAATCCCGCTAGGTTTTCGTCCCGCCGTCGTGATCCCCACGCCACCCCCGTTTCGTTTTCATCCGGCCCTTCTGATCCCCACGCCATCTCCCTTTCGTTTTCATCCCCGTTTCGTTTTCACCCCGCGTCTCTGATCACCTGTTTCGTTCTCATCCCCACTTCGTTTATCCCCGCCTCGTTTTCATCCCCGTTTCTCTTTCGCCCCGCGCCGCCATTCCCCGGTATCGCTCTCTCGCGTTTTGAACCTAAACGAGAACCCAACATCCGAGATGTTTTTGGGACAAATAGTCCATGGGGTGTGGAATTTTCCCAAAGTTCCCGGGCTTTCATTCTTGAGCCAGCAGCAATTGAGACGTCCTGGCGTGGTCTGATTGTTGAAGCAAAAGAAATCATAACAGCCCTTGAGCGACAACAGAGTAGCATAGACAATTGAAAGGTCAGTGAAGAAAGCCGTCCTGAAACACTAAGTAGCGCGACAGCGAACCGGTTCAGAAACAGAGACTTGCAAGTTCAAGAAGCCTCGGACCTGCTTTGGTCTACCTTGTTCCACGCCAGTCTCAGATTTCGCTCCCGGAACTGAAATGTAACCCCCCCTCTGAATTAAGAAACCCGGCCACGACGGATGATTATGTTTAGGTTGCCGATCAATGCTTTCAGTTCTGAGAATGTGTGGGAGCCTAAACTGGAGCCCTATAGACTGCATGGCCTGGGGGCTTAAACTAGAGACTGCACTAAAGCAGAGACTGCAGCGGCTGGAGCGCTGAACTAGAAACCTGCCAATCAGCCAGGCCTTCAGCCCTAAAACTATAGGCCCGGAGCCCCGAGTTCTGAGCCCTAGAGCCCTTTGCCCCTTAGCTACTGCAAGCAATTGATTCCTCAAAAGTCGGGCCTTATGCCCTAGAGCCTTAACCCCGAGTCTGAAGTTTTAAGCCCCAGAGCCCACCTTTGCCCTCAGCTGTAACCCATACGTCTGCAGCAGGATTCAGGGCTTCTAGTTTCGGTTAAGGTTGACATCTTACAGATCCTATTGAAAACAAAAAGGGAGACCAACCCGGGTGATTGAATCAATGGATCCGGGGGGGAAGGGTCGCGGTGGTCTGATTATGAGGTTTAACATGTATTGGAATTCTACGTTGTGTCATGTTCGGATCTGCATCTATTTGCGTCTGCTGTTTTGGCTGGAGAAGTGTCAGAGGCGGACAAATGCTTGCAAAGGTTCAGGGATGTGCGTTCGTGGCTCGTGTCGTGCAGACAAAAGACACAAGCGAGGCAAAACCAAGAGACGACCAGTGGGCATCGTGCACGGTGCATGCTTTGTAGAGGGACATGAAACGCATGTCAGCATAGCAGAAACGGAGCTGATATGTGACCGCTCCATGAACCGCCATGCACTTTCCCATGCGCCCCAATCAGCTTCTTCCTGTCATTACTTGAACTTCGATCTCACCTGTGATGGGCTACATGCAAAGCGTGCTGTCATCTTACTGGCTCGAAGTCATACCACTGAAACCTCTCCTTTCAGCCGGCTGAACGTTCATTTCCTGATTTTCCTTGGCCTGGACAGGATGCAAGGAAGGCTGGTGCAAGCAACCGCCCCAAAGCCACACCAGCGGCCCATATGACTACCGGGTCTTGTGAAACTTCATCTGGTTGAGTTGAGCCTGAGTCGTGTCCTGACTGTCCTGGGCTTTGCCAGCGCCACCTGCAGACCACAGCCCGTACGAGTCTGCATCCCATGAGTGCAAACCCACTGCACATCCGCGATCGTGGCCTTTATCACGCACCCGAGCAGCTCGACGCTGGGCAGCGCGACGCTTTGGCGCGGCACCTGAACTGCTGAGTCATGCTGCGGCTGCAAACCATTCAAAAAACGACTTGCGTTGCTGCATTGCTTGAGGCAGGCATTCTGTGAACGGACCTCTCTGCATAGCGGCCATGGCCGCCACAGTTCGAGCGGCTGCTGCCTGCTTTCTTCATTGTCGGCTCTGTAGGAACAGTCCCAGAAGTGTTCTGAGCCCAGCATCACAGCATCATGTTAGTATTGTCAGCGACGCGAAATGAATCGGCGGATAAACAACTTGCAAAGAAGCTTGGCTTTCTGCCATATGCATCTGCTGCAGCCTGCCCCCGTGAACTGGCAGGTAGATTCTGCTGTGTCTGGCCTCTCGCTCAGCTTGGCTGTCCTGCATTCGGATCATAGGCAATGACAGCTTCAGTTTTTCCCGAATGCTCCACAGAAGGGTTCCCGGTTTAAAGTTGGTTGGGAGGTTACCAAACGTCGTTGCGCTGTGTCCGCAAAGCATCCGCAAGCGTTCGCAAGCGTCCGCAAGCGTTCGCGAGTGGCATAACGCGTGCTGTTCAGGGGGGACTCCACAGGACGCGCGCCGACGTGGCGTTCCGAATCTGTCAAGCTAAGGGGGAAGTCCACAGGACGCGCGCCGCTGTGGCGTTCCGCGGCGTTCCGAATCCGTCAAGCTAAGGGGGAACTCCGCAGGACGCGTGCCGCCGTGGCGTTGCGCGGCGTTCCGAATTGTGGCGTGCCGCGGCATTCCGAATCTGTCAAGCTAAGGGGGAACTCCACAGGGCATGCGCCGCCGTAGCGTTCCGACGCGCCCCGCTGTGGCGTTCCGCGGCGTTCCGAATCCGTGAAGCTAAGGGGGAACTCCACAGGACGCGCGCCGCCGTGGCGTTCCGCGGCGTGCCGAATCCGTCAAGCTAAGGTGGAACTTCACAGGACGCGTGCCGCCGCGGCGTTCCACGTGGCGTTGCGCGGCGTTCCGAATCCGTCAAGCTAAGGGGGAACTCCACAGGACGCGCGCCGCTGTGGCGTTCCGCGGCGTTCCGAATCCGTGAAGCTAAGGGGGAACTCCACAGGACGCGCGCCGCCGTGGCGTTCTCCGCTGCGTTCCGAATCCGTCAAGCTAAGGGCGAACTCCACAGGACGCGCGCCGCCGTGGCGTTCCCCGTGGTGTTCCGAATCCGTCAAGCTAAGGGAGAACTCCACAGGACGCGCGCCGCCGTGCCGTTCCCCGTGGCGTTCCGAATCCGTCAAGCTAAGGGGGAACTCCACAGGGCACGATTCGCGGGGGCGTTCCACGTGGCCTTCCGCTGTGTCCGAATCCGTCAAGCTAAGGGGGAACTCCACAGGATGCGCGCCTGGGGGCGTCCTGTGGTGGTGGTCCCGTGGTTGGTCCCGTGTGGTAGTCCCGTGGTGGTGGTGGTGGTCCCGTGGTGGTGGTCCCGTGGTGGTGGTCCCGTGGTGTGGTCCCGTGGTGGGGGTCCGCGGTGGTGGTCCTGTGGTGGTGGTGGTGGTCCCGTGGTGGTCCCGTGGTGGTGGTGGTCCTGTGGTGGTAGTGGTGCCGTGGTGGTCCGTGGTGGTGGTCTCGTAATGGTCTCTGTGGTGGTCCCGTGGTGTTGTGCCATGGAGGTGGTGCCGTGGTGGTGGTCCCGGTCCCGTAGTATTGGTCCCATGGTGTGGTCCCGTGGTGGTGGTTCCGTGCTGATGGTCCTGTGGTGGTGGTCCGTGGTGGTGGTCCCGTGGTGGTGGTGGTCCCGTCGTGGTGGTGGTGGTCCCGTGGTGGTGGTTTCGTGATGGTGGTTCCATGGTGGTGGTTTTGTGGTGGTGGTCCCGTGGTGGTGGTCCGTGGTGGTGGTCCCTGGTGGTCCCGTGGTGGTGGTCCCATGGTGTGGTCCCGTGATGGTGGTCCCATGGTGTGGTCCCGTGATGGTGGTCCTCGTGGTGGTCGTCCGTGGTGGTCGTCTGTGGTGGTGGTCCGTCCGCCCGCCACGGACGTTTCGTTTATATTGCGTAATATTTACGTTATAGGTGACTGCTTTCTGCATTCGGGTTCGTGGATCCTATCAGGTTTTTGGTTCTGTGGAAAAGCCTAACGAAATGTCTGTGGAGGCGTGACTGGGTCTTCCAGACACTGCAGTGTGGTAACGTTCGTCCAGCCCTTCTACTGATTCTACTGTAAATACACGCATCTGTATTTGCGACTCTGTATGTGACTCGTTGCAAAGGTCGGGCTAAGGTCAGCAAAGGCCGTCAAAGGCCCTTCTTTCAGTTTTACGCCAAGTTCGGATCAGGGATCAGACCACACGGTATCTGCTGTTCCCACTATATACCCTCTGCAACAGTGATCTTAGCAAAGCGACCACAGATAAAGAGGCCTTGTAACGCACTATATGCAGTCGCTTATGCAAAGTATGCTCTCAGTGGGCAGCTGCCGTTGGGCATCGGTTTGGCACATGCAACAGATTCGACAGTACAATCAATGTCCCGTGCCATGTCACAGCCAGTTGAGAACAAACGGGGTGCCACGACCCTGGCTCGACAAGTTTGTTCATGTCGACCCATAGTTGACCATGCAATTCCCTCTCCTCCTCTTCCTCCTCGTCTTCCGCACTGCTGCTGCCCGATTCGGAACTTGAGGAGTGTGACGATGGCTTTGCTTGCGTCCTTTGCACGCATCACACGCAGAAGAATGAACAAGCATGGGCCTTGTGCAAGGTCAACAGCTTCAAGGTCAACAGCTTCCCACATCGGCCAAACTTCATGGGTTTCTCTTGAACCGTTTTCAACAAACACCACAAATCAGCCTTCGTTAAGCTCAACAAGTGCACCGGCGTCCAAGGAGAGATGCTTCTGCTCCGAGGCTTAAGCCTTAAATCTTTCACAGTCCTGCAACGTGAAATTCACAATCCCCAGCTATCGTATGCCCACGTATGCCCTCTCCCTCTGCCTGCCCTCGCGTTGCAAGGCTTCGCTGCTCTCGGCACTGGGCCCGCTGGAGGGCCCGCATTGATCCCGGCCTCAAGTCTAATCGGGCCTAATCAAGCTAAACCGCACACAGCTCGAACATGTTCGAGCATTTTAGGTGTCTTCGGACTGTCTTTGTTTGGCAAGTTCCAACTCCCAGGCCACCCTTACATTAAGAGTACACAACGTTATGGGGGCCCTCGATTTTCGACTGTTTCTTGTGCTTCATGACTTCATATAACAAGCTAAAGCTGCCTGTGCAGAATCTTTAAAGGAAAAACTGCAGAAGAGCCTCTAAAAAGAATGGAGGCCCAAACCTCGCCATTCACCCATGTAGGACGCTGACAATACCTGCCCTCTGAAAAAAAATCGACAAACAATTTTTTGCCGCCCCCCAACCCCCTCCTCCAGCTTCCTCCCACCAGGCACCCTCCCCCCACGTCCTGGCCCCTCTACCACCCTTGTACAAAATTTAGACTATGGGCTACATGCATATATATATATATATGCATATATAGAGGGGCCATGAGGGAGCACTCCAAAAAATGTAGTTGACAGACCTAAAGGGAAGAGATGTGGAGAAGCCCGCAATATGAAGCATCCACTATACCCATAGATGTTTTTTTGGTGCTACGGAATATGGAATTTTGGAAGTGGCATGGTGGGCTCCAACATTGGAGGTGTGAATGTGGTGCTTTAAAGGTCGGATGTTGGGCCCTACAGGAAGAATATCAACGGCACCAATGCTACGAATAATGCTACTAATACCTATCGAAACGCTAAAACCAATGGTGAGAGCACTAGCACTACCAGTACTAGTCTTGCTAAAACGTTGGGAGTACTGGTTTAAGGACAATCCTAGAGTACAAGGAAGTACAAGTTTGAGATAGAGAAATCTCCAATCCCTAGCCCCCGGAATTCCAGAAATAACAACCTTTGTTCACAGTATTCCCGTTTGTGCTGGCCCCTTATCTAGGTAGTCTCGTGTAGTCCCGTATACAGGCAGTCACCGAGATAGAGAAGTAGATGTACTCATATAGCGTATACTTAAAATCTTCAACTACATTTTTGTTTGCGTTGTCATAGGAAAAAAGCCCTACGAAATAGTGGAATCTTGGACTATGGAATGCCGGTCCCAGAGTATGACCCTTGGCTCCATACAGTATACAGCTTGGAATCTTGCACTATGGAACGTCGGGCCTCAGAACTTGGAATTGTGGAATGTGGTATAACATCACCTTAAGTCCTAAAGTGTATAGGCTGTGGAATATAGATAAATGGGTCCGAAAACTTCTGGAAATTTGAAGGTGGGGCCGGACCCCCCCCCCCCCCCCCCAAATATCTATGAGCACAGGAGTGTAGGAATTGATATGTTGGGAATGCTAGGCCCAAACGTTTGGAAATCATAAGGAGAAATTCCTAGCGTACTAGCTAAAGTAAACGAAGAGAGGCAAGGCCACTGACGCTACGAAAATGCCAACACTGCTTATCATAAGACTACATTAATCATGTGAGCACTAGCCTACTAATCTTGCACATGCCACCAAAAGCACGAACAATAAGAATAACACTACAAACACATACTCTATACACATATATGCACATAGCATGCTTTGTAATCTTATCTGCTGGCCGCCACCTTTTTCGTGTTGGTGCTCATGGAAACTTAACATAGCAATTCGTAGTTCCTCAACCCATAAAATATTTGCTTTTGGTATGCAGAATTGTATGGAAAGCGTTTGATTACACAGAATAGTAAACTAATAACCCGCAAAACACTTAACCAGAGGTCTAGATTCACGAAAAAAATGTTATAAGCCATCATCTAACCACGTTGCATGCGTTTCTGAGATTTGTGCAGACGAGTATTATCTGTGATCAATATATTTAATGATTTACATAAGAAGCAGAATAGGTGTGCAGATGAGTCGAGGAGATAGTAAGGGATATATGTAGAGCTAGGGCTGAGGCAAGAGTAGCAAAAACAATGTTGGCGGCTCATAAACAAGAATGCCCTTTTTTGATTTGTTTTTGTTGGGCCTTCCCCCCCCCCCCTGCCCCCCCTGCCCCCCCTCCCCCCCCTCCCCTCCCCTCTCCCCTTCGCCCCCCTCTCCCTCTCCCCCCCCCTCTCTCCCCCCCCCATCTCCTCTCCCCCCCCTCTTTTCCCCTCCTCGT